GGGCGGGGAGAAAAGTGCAACAATGAATGAATGGAATTCCAAAATCTCTGTAGATGTTCATTGAAATTAATAATAAAAAAACCCCTAAACTGTAAGAAAAAAAACCAAAAGAAGCTATTGCTCAAACAGAGCAAGGTAACACTGCATGGTTTAAAATAAAGGAAAGAATGTGCCAGAGTTGTATCCTTTCTTCATACTTATTCAATCTGTATGCTGAGCAAATAATTCAATAAGCTAGAAAGACTGTTCCTTGGAGAAGGACATCATGCTTGGAAGGGTGGAGGGGCAGTGCAGAAGAGGAAGACCCTGGATGAGATGGATTGATATAGTGACTGGGGCAATGGGGGTGGTGTGTCAGAATTAATGAGACTGGCTCAGGACAGGGTTCAGAGCTGCTATACATAGGGTTGCTAATTGGTTGCAGGCAACTCGACAACACATAAAACAAGAGCAGCTATGAAGAATAATGTAGCATCAGCATAGGAAGAAGTCGCATACTCATATGTTATGCAGATGATACAACCTTACTTGCTGAAAGTGAGGAGGACTTGAAACGCTTGCTACAAAAGATCAAAGCCTTCAATACAGATTACATCTCAACAAAGAGAAGACAAAAATCCTCACCACTGGACCAATAAACATAATGGAGAAAAATTGTCAATGATTTTGTCAGATTAGGATCCAAAATCAATACTCTTTGCACAAAGTAATCAAAAGATATGTTGCAGTGGGAAAGTCTGCTGTAAGAGAAGTCTCCAAAGTACTGAGGAATTATGATGCTAAGTCTAGTTTACTTGATTCAGGCCATAGTCTTTTCCATAAATAGCTATGCATCTAAGAGCTGGACAATGAACACAGATGATAGAACAATCAATGTCTTTGGGTGGTGGTGCTGGAGAAGAATATTGAAAATCCCAAGAATTTCCAAAAGAACAATTAGATATATCTTGGAAAAAGTTTGGCCAGAATGGTCCTTGGCAGCAATGGTGGTGAAACTTTGTCTCTCATATTTTGGACATGTTGCTAGGAGAGGCTTTTCTTTGAAAAGGGACATTATGCTTGGAAAGGTGGAGGATCATGGAAAGACAGGAGATCCTTACCAAACAAAATGGACTGACACAGTAACTGCAGCAATGGGTCAAGTGTGTCAGAGATGATGAGGATGGCACAGGATAGTCCAGGGATCAAATCTGTCATCCACAGAGTCACTAAGAGTCATACTTGACTCAATGGCATACAACAACAACAACATACCATTCAACTTCTGGGAAGAGGGCATTAAAAATTTAAGATTTCTGAAAGTTTTTACTTTCACCTCACCTTCAAGATTATTTCCAAAGATGTTGTCAATAAATGTTATTTTTTGACACCAGGATCACATTCACAAAAATCAGTACTTTCAATACTAAAAATACTTTGAGGTGAGTGGTCAATGGAATATATAACCTCTGAGGAGTAAAATGTCCAAAGGTTTGGATAAAATCTAGTGTCAAAGGGCAACCAGCTTTGGGTTATCCAGATCAGCCCAGAAGGAAGACCCACAGTAGCATGAGAAAACTGTTGACTACCTGACTACTACTTCTGCTCAAACTAGGATGCAATTTAAAAACCCTTCAAAGCATTACAAAGGCACAAAAAGGATTATTGAAATGACTGCATCTCCCCTCCGCCCCC